TTAGACTGTATTGGTCCAAGTCGCCTGAAAGCAATAAGGGCTGAAGTCCACAGACGGGCAGCGTAGTTTTTATCTGTGCGGGACACAGCCGAGGATGAACAATTGGAGTAAATTATCTTTTCTTATTTCTGCTCTCCTGCTCTTGTCCCACAGCGGTGGCTCAGCCAGATAAGACAAATGTTCTCAATCTTTCAGACGAGAGATAAGATGCCCAGAATTAGTCTGAGAAATAAATGAGTTGTGTCAGGAAACGGAGTGGCCTCGGTTGTCTGTGATGACTATCTTTATTATAGTTCCTGTAAAGCTCAACGCAACAAACATTTCCTTTTCATCGCTCACAATATAACGGGAAGATGAACAAGCTTTTCATACGAACTGGTCAACATGGCGGATGACTACTTTGTTATTAATGTTTCTTTTTTTAAATGGCTGCCTGGTGTTTAGCAGCATTGAAACAGTTTCTGAAGGCAACCTCTGTGATTCTCTGGTGAAACTGAGTCAGAATGGGTTGGAGGTATTATGATACACAAGAGAGGACAGTTTTCTGAACAAAAGTCTTAACTTAGTAGCTTTTTTTCCAAAGATTTGCACCAATTTATTAATTTTTTTTGTCAGGGGTGTCCTGCTCTCCCATATACAAACGCTGATTCCAACCTGCAGCTGCCGTCTTCCCCGTCTCTCTTTCACCAGCTTCCTGTTTCTCTACAGCCGATCGATCAAATAAAGGCAGTAAAAGAGACACATTTAATAACTTAATACTGCTAATAGTGATCAGTGATTTTATGGACCTGACTCTGACCTTTCTGACCCTAAATAGATCATTAATAAACAAAAACTTGATGAACTGATAAAAGTCGATATAAAGTCAGTATGCGTATGTTTATATCAGAAGAATAGTGAACTTTAAAGTTTGCGTGTACCGCAGTTTGATGCTGTGAGTTTGTATTTTGTAATTTCAGTCTTGTTGTAATTTGTTTTATCAGGTCATTTGAACAGTCCTGAAAGAGGAAAGTGTTGCACCTATCCTGTTTTTTTTTATTTAAATTACTCCTTTGGTGAAGAGCAGTCACAGTACAAACTGTAACTCACACTTAGCCTACGTCCATTCTAAATATCTGCTGTCGTTTCTGTGCATGAAATGCTGTTTAATGGGGAAAAACCTTCAGATGTTTGAGCAAAAACTTAAAATATGCAGGAATGATTCAGTCAGCACGGATTGGAGAATACCATAAAGTTCATTTAAAAATCCAATATTTGGATCAATCCAATAGTAAATTTATGTTTTAATTGCAGAATGTTTGCACCAATCTTCATGTAAAACTGAGGTTTTTAAAGCTAAACTAGTCTAAAAATCCAAAGTGTTAAAGTATAAATATGTAACTAAGTTTTAAAAAAACACAACACAAAACCACCATTTATTAAAAGAGTTTTTTTATTCACAATAGAAGTGTAACAAATATAGTTTATTAAAAAGTCTGCTGCTTATTAATATCATTTTAATCCATAAACTCAGAAGATTTTCATATAAATGTAGAACGGCTCATTTGCCGGAATGGAATATTTACATTTTTTCAATAATAATATTAACACAATAAACAGATTTCCCCACAAAATTAAAATATTGCATATAAACGCAAAGTAAACTATGTGCAATGGAATGATTATCAGCAATATTTTTGTACAGATACATTTCTGAGGTTGGTTTCACGCATTGAAACCATTAAAGGACAATGCCAACAGTTTTAAAAATTCTGATTATTTGAGTCCCGACACAGGTCAGCCATATTTAGTGATCGTGCACCCCTGGTGAAGAAAACTAACGATGTCTGGGTGATATAAATTAGGAGTTCCTTTTAGGGGGAAGCGGTGCATTTTTCACAGGGACTGACTTTCATGTTGAATTCCTAAAAAGGCCGGCATTCCCCTTTAAAATATTCACCAATAGAAAGGCATTGGAACGCAACAGATCAACACAATATTCAGAAAATCACCAAAAAAACCAGTAAAATTAAAATAACAAAAAGTCTGCGTATGGAGACGAGCAGATGTCCCGATATGTGAAGCTAATGCAGAGCTCACACTGACGGCTCACACGTAAACACATTCTGCATCTCCGTCCTATTCAGGTACTGAAACGACCACATCGGTGTCACATAAAAAGAAAGTAAAAAAACATGTTTAAAACTTTGACGTTGAATCCAGAAGGGCAGGGCTGAGTGTTGTGTCCTTCCTATTGGGGGCAAATGCAGTGGATCAGCCCTTTAAGTTACAAGTCAAAAGCCTCCACGGTTCCAAAATGCAGGGTTGCAAGTCTACACACGGTTACTTTAACATATTTAAAATCCCCAAAGTACAATTAAAACCAAATGTCAGACTGTTGAATCGCACTAATAAATCTTAACATGGGGGGAGGGGAACTACCAGGAAACCATGTTCATTATATTCACCATTAAGACTGACACCATCATACTCACTGTAGCAAAAAAAACCACACACACCTAACCCCCACCATTACAGAAATCTTCATAAGAATACAACTAATGGTTAAACTTCAATCAAAGACCTTAATGCATCCTAAAATTGGTATTTTCTTAAATGAAGTTCTGTATGGAGACTTCAAACTTTCTCATTATCCGCACACCGTTCTGTGTCAGCGAGCAACTTAAATACACTCAACTGTTGCAGTGTGTCGTATCAAATGATCTTATTTCATTTTCATTGATCATCAGCTCAATCTCTACCAATTATAGGGCAAAACATTCCGATATTAAAGTGTCTTTATAATGAACACTTAGCTACGTTATACTATTGTTTCTCACTTCCATCACGAAAACCATCAGAAACAGAAGTTTAAACGCCTTTATGAAGCAGCGCTTTATCCTGAACGTTCCTAAATGTCCGTGTTTATGTGTCAGATCCTCACAACTATAAATGAAAACAAACGTGTGTGTGTGTGTGTGTGTACAGCTCGTGTGGCAGATTTGGATCATTTCCTACGTCAACGTCACGTCGCCACCAGCGGGCTCGTGAACTGCACACATTGCTTTAAACTTTTTGTGCTTTCCAGGATAAAAGAAAAACAACAAAAACAACAAAAGCACAGAGAAGTGAACACAAGAAGACAAAAAAAAAAAACACACATACAAATATTCTTCATTTCACATTGGATGGTACATTCATACAGTTCCTATCCTCCAGTAAGGTTGATGGATTGACTCCCAGGTGCTTCCTTTGACGTCTTTCTTCAATTAAACCACATTTCCCAAACGTCATTAAAAAGGTACTATGTGTCTTTCTTCTTTAAACACAGATAATGTGACTGGTGATATTACACATTGTGGCAGCTCAGCAGCTCAGTAATGAGGTTTAAAAACACAATACAACCTTTAAACTCTTTACCGACATCAGTTCAATGTCTGTTTTGGTAAATAAATTACCCAACAAAAAGAGTTGTGAAGCTCCACATTTAGGGTCCAGTCTTGAAGCATTAAAGCCACAGCGCCACCTGGGGGTCAGCTCCCAAACTCTCCCGAGTTCTATGTTCACTACTACAGAATAAATTAACACAATTGGCAAAATCAACCATTACTATACAACTTCACATGGGTAATAAATGCCTCTACACCAACTAAACAAAACACGGATTACACAGGAGGACACTGTCGTCTGTACAGTGATATAAAGAACGTGGAGGGATTTCTCACAGCTCAGTAACTCAGCACAATATTCAGTTTCAACGGTGAGGTCGACTGATATGTTGGTCGTTATCTGGGATTCGATTAAAAAAAACAAACAGTTTGCAGCACAAACACGTAAGTTTTTGAACATGCTCTCTGCTATTTTCTCATTCATTTCTATCAATTTGAGCTCTTCTTGTTGTGAGATGGCCTTAAAGCTGCAGCAGGTAACTTTCATAAAAATAAGTGAGAGATAATCTGTGAAAAAACAAAAGGAAAGAGACTCAACAATCAACTATCTTTCTCATCTCTGATTGGTGGATTCTTTCAAACGCCACAGAGGATCCACAGATTATCTCCCACTATCAGGATATAGTGACAGTTTCAGCAAATGATAAAAGTTACCTACTGCAGCTGGAAGTGTAACCTCCTGTGATCAGAATCATGTATGGGGACATAAAATGTGGGAAGATACCAACTAATGAGTCAGTTTGGGTATTTAATCTTCTTTCATTACCTTGTAATCATGGGACGTTTAATTAAAACAGTTTTTCCCCAACATGTCGACATTTTGTTGTAAGAAGTTTTCCACCTAGAATCATTGGTGACAATCAGATGTGTATATATATATGTATATATAATAAGTATAAGTAATTTCCCTCCGGGGATTATTACTTTTCAGACTCAGAGCATTTAGCCCAGGTCTCATGTGGACTGTAATTGGAAGATCTCACCACAAGATGTCAGTGTAGTTGAGGAAATAACTGGTTCCTGACAGACGTTCACCAGGAGAAAGAACAGTAGAAGACTTTCTTTATGTGATTATCAGATGGACAATGTCTGATCTCCTACTAATCACAAACATTGGATATACAGTTAAATAGCAGGAATTATCCTTTAATCAGTGTCTAGTTTTGGTATAATCCTCATCAGAGGCATGGGAACTTCACTGAAAGCTCTAAGACTATTTAAAACTCCACTCTTTTGTGTTTGTGTGAGCTGCTTTTCCCTCCGACTCCTCCACAGTGAAGGCACTAGATCGAAGACTAAACTGGATTTTATCTGGCTACAGTTCTGTGTGGCATCAGAAAAAAAGCCAACTGAAAGAGCTGAACAGAAAACACACAATAACAGCAACACAGTTTGTGTCAGTACAGTCACACGCCCCTCACCCGAAGTGTGGAGGATGACGGGAACCACAGACAGAATGGTAAAGCTGTATATAATCAGTATGGCTTCTTCTGTGAGTGTTTCTGTGTGTGTGTG